GCCTTATTTCCACATTTTATCGAAACAATATCGATTCAAAAACCAATTATTAGAACGTCAATTTATCAGAAATGTATTTCATCGCGACGGCAAATCATCATAAATGTATTTCGTCGCTTGAGAAATTCATGAGATACGTATAATTCATTGCATGAGATAGTCATACAACTAACAGTATATTGTATAGAAAAAATTGCAACGTAATGGGACATGAACATAAGATGCAAAACCATGAATGCTCTTCAACAAATACAAAAAATATTTCGAGGAATTATATAATCATTTCAAAGAAACAATAATGATCTTTCTGTTATCAACATCATCGATGTTTGAAATCAATCTGCCATAGGTATACCGTGCAATTTTGCTAAGATGCTTTGGATGCTCAAGCTATAATTATGTTAAGTAGATATAAGCTAACAATCTAGAAAATTGATATTAAATAAGAACGATAAGTTCGAAGAAAAACCAGTATGATGTTTCTCAATTCCAACGATATGTGGGTATATTTACGGAATCATTTCATTCGATTTTTTTCAGTCAACTACAGGACAGGTCCGCATTTAGTGCACATGAGAGCCTTATTTCCACATTTTATCGAAACAATATCGATTCAAAAACCAATTATTAGAACGTCAATTTATCAGAAATGTATTTCATCGCGACGGCAAATCATCATAAATGTATTTCGTCGCTTGAGAAATTCATGAGATACGTATAATTCATTGCATGAGATAGTCATACAACTAACAGTATATTGTATAGAAAAAATTGCAACGTAATGGGACATGAACATAAGATGCAAAACCATGAATGCTCTTCAACAAATACAAAAAATATTTCGAGGAATTATATAATCATTTCAAAGAAACAATAATGATCTTTCATAGCAGTTTCGCATATAAAAGCACTCTTCAGAATATTAGAGGAGTTTATATCTACTAGTTACCATGTTTAATTCAATTTTTACAGGGCATTATCAAAGCACCGAGGCTCAAATCATGCATAACTAACCGGGTTCAAATTTGAATTTATCGTGATAAATAACCTGATGGAAATAAAATTAGCATTTAGTACTTTATTCTGCGCCCTTATCACAAATGAATATCAGATTAGGTTAGATTGGATTAAGAGCTAATAGTCTACTGAAATCTTCTCTTATTCACTTCCTTGTCTCAGGTCTTAGCATTGAAATTTTTTTTCGCTGTGGCAAAGTCTGCTTCTGTATACATCGACCATTTTCTGACAAGCACTTTACCAAAGAATGATTTTTTTGATTAATCTAACGAAACAAATTTATTTGCAATTAGATCAATACTTTTCTTTATGAAATTTGGTAGTCACCCATTTGAGGGCCATGCGCGTTAATATGATTTCTTGAATTTTAACCTCTAAAAATATATTCAGTAGGCCTTGTTTGTTTAGCAAAAAAATACGATTCGTCCTAACGTATAGTTTTTAAAACTACACAGGAGAATACTGGATAATGATTCATTTACTGTGGTCAAGTGTGTATGGACAGCCATGATACTTAATATTTCATAATTCGCAATTATTTTTATCAATTCTTCCTCGGAAAACCAAGCACTCGCTCAGGTAATGAGACTGACATTAGCTTCATGAGCAGACAGTAAATTAACTAACTATATCGTCGCTGTTAAATCAAACCGGCATATCTGCAAAAAAGGGATTTTTGAGTTATTGGTATCAAAAAAATCATTTTTTTCACCTCTTTGAGTGAGTCAAACCGGCATATGTATAGTATCCTTGTGATCTGTCAGGTACCGTTGTGCCGGTATGAATTTTGGCGGAATCCAGTATGTTTATAAGCAGTTAACAGGTGTATTGCCAATGCGTCAGTCCAGCATGAGATGTCGTGGTGAATACTTCTGCAGCTTGTAAGTAAAACCGATTTATCTCCCAATACTACTCTCTCTAATCTGCACAGGCGTAGCCTCGGGCGTGGCTTATTGGCAGATACTCCAGACGCTTTTGCAAATTATAGCTATATTATAAACTTTGAAGTAGTATACCGACATATCTGCATATTTTTCTGTTCCCAGAAAATTTTCTAGTTATTTGCCACCGATGCAGCTACAAGCAAAACCAAACTCAATTTTATGCACAAAAGAGATAGCTCTTAGATGAAAGATCAAGTAGATATACAGAAATAATCAAGTAGAAAAACTTTGATGCGTTCTGGTGAGAAATAGTAGTTCTGCAGATACGCCGGTTTGATTTCATAGCGACGATATGTCTTTCAAATTCCAAGTTTTTTACCCATAGAGGCGATATCAATCTAAGATTATTCAAGGATATCCAAGTAGAAAATTAAGTCCCCTTATTTTCAGATTTATTGTCTTGATAGTCACATTTTACTAAGTATAGTATGTCGTTGTTTTAGAATAAATACTCGACTAATGTTCGATGAAATTATACAGGAGGTGCCATTTGATAAAAAATATTTAGCTATGATTCTCAAAGGGTAATAGTGAATGAAATGCTATGTTGAAGGTTATTGAAATTTCATTAAATTCATTGTTCATCTTTTGAAATGAGCAACATATTTATTGCATGGAAACGATAACTTGGTACATTCTGTTAGTAGACTGTAGACTAGTATCACCATTATGTATGTATTATGTTCATTATATTATATGTACCGAACATTGCTCAAAAAATTGAGGAGAGAATACCAACAAACTATCAACTCTTTAATTGTGGTGGTTCAATATTATAATATGGACCCTTTATCCATACATATATCATGTCCAACAAATGAACCTGTCAGATACTGCTAAACAGACAATAAATCGTTGAATAAACAACACTCTGAATTTTGATATTTCACAATATCATCCTGTACAATAGGTCTATTAAAATTTGAATGATCTCCATTGTTGCCGCGAGAAAATCATAGATAAATAACCCTTACAAAGTAGCGCCATATCTCATCTAGGTTAAATGACATGGCATTTCATCGTTGCCCTTTTGATTATGGATCCTATAGACAGCAGGTATATTATATTTATTCTTTTTTTTTTCAAGCCCCGACCTTTCCTAACGATTTTGCCATTACTTCCACCACATGTACAGCTGAAACAGTAAAGGTCCACCCCTATGTGTGATATATTCATGGGACCCTTTGACAAGGGCCCACTAATTGCTTATTCAGAAGGTATATACGCGGGATGTTTTATGGACGTTGCCTAATAGAGGAAACAGCGTACACATAAATAATAGAATTCTTGAAAGGTTCTATTTTGTGTATTCTATATCGGTGTGATAATGATATAGATTTTCGAAATGAATTGCCGGTATGATGTTCTTTACTTTGTATTTGAACCTGTGGTTGATGATAAGGGGCTCAGCCCTATCCAATATTATATAGTATGTCAGACATGATATTGTACCATACGGTACCTTTTGAACCTACTAACTTCGTACTTAGATCAGCGAACCCAATTTGTCGTGATTAATGGTGTCAAGTCAAAATGTGACCGTGTTACGTTAGGTGTCCCACAAGGGTCACATCTGGGGCCGCTTCTATTCAATATTTTCATCAATGATTTGTCAGGGTGTTTTCATACACAAAGCGGATAACCTAAAAATCTACAAGAACATTGAAAGTCCCAGTGACTACTTAGATTTTCAATCAGATCTGGATAGATTCTCAGACTATTGCTCACGTAACAGACTCCATCTCAACCTCTCGAAATGTTATCAAATTGTGCTTTCCCGTAGTAACAAACACATTATATACAACTTGAAATTGAAAGACCAAATCATCGGAAGAACTGATAGGATATGATCTAGGAATAACCTTAGATAACAAATTAACTTTTGATCAACACATCGAACAAATAACACAGAAGTCACTCACAGGAACATAGGATTCATATTCAGGGTCACCAAAGAATTCAATTGTTGGAAATCTGTTACTCTTCTGTTCAATAGCATTGTGAAACCCATTATCGAATACTCATCTATTATATGGAATCCATTCTACAACTGCTATATTGATAGACTGGAAAATGTACCAAAAAAAATCATAAATAGACTGAACTTTAGATTCAACAAGAACAGATACCATAAATCATATCAAAACAACTTGAAATTTCATAGGCTGGAAAATTTCCTTCCCCATTGCTCAACAAACTTTCTGCTCAACTCTCCGTCGATAAGATGTATCAAAACTTTCAATAGTGTATGTAAATCAAACAATGATCTTGATGTATTCAGCTTCTCATTTATCAGGTTCAAACATGGAGTCAAACAAGTTCTGTACAATTAGTCCTTTTTAATTAGTTAAATACAAAATATATTGCCAAATAGTTATAACATTGTCAAACCTCGTACTGTTATAATATTATGTATTATGATATAAAAATATAACTTATCGATATGTTCAGTATTGAAATGAAAATTGAAATGTATAGGAGAAGTATACTTGTATGAACTCTGATCTTGATGAGCTTGGAACTTCCAAAAAAAATCATTCGTATCAGTGATATGGGAATTATATCTCTCCAAGCTCATCAAGATCAGAGTTCATACAAGTATACTTCTCCTATACATTTCAATTTTCATTTCAATACTGAACATATCGGTAAGTTATATTTTATATCATAATATTATTTCGATTTTTCATCCTCTTTTTTTTGGATATTCAACAGATATAATTCAATGTTCGACGTGGCAAATATCTAGGAAATTAGTTGTAGTATATGAAGTATATGAAGGAGAATGCTAATTCTCTACTTCGCAAGATTTTGTTTTCAAATTCTTATCGTGTGTGTCAATAGGTGTAATTCAATATTCGTCGTGGCATATAGCCAGGAAAGTAGTTGTTTTCTGTTGAATAAACCAAGAAAGAATTGATATTTTCATCACATGGAGAATGACCAAAAAAGGTCAAATAATTATTTTCCTAACCGATTTTGAAAATGCGATCCAACAGAGGGAAAATACTTTGTATCAATCAACGTATTAATTTGCAGCCAAATCGAAACCGGACGAATTCGAAGATACGTACGGCGGCACGAACGACGAAGACGTCCAGAACGACAACTACGACGAGTACGGCGCGACGGACGTCGAGGCGCCTCCCGATGACGCCAACGACGTGCTCAAGCCCGAGGTGGAGGCCTACATCCTGACCAAGCCGCAGGTGGTGGTGGCGAAGTTCGGAGACACGGTCAGGCTGCCTTGCGAAGTCTCCAATTCAGGTGAGTGACGTGAGCAGTGTTGCCAGAGGTGGTACATTCCCAGTAAACACAAACCGTTTCAGAAACATTCCAAAAGTTCCCTAATACGTGTAATATGAAACATTCCAATGTTAACATGAAGGAAACATTTCTGAAGCTCTCCATGCTATGTGAATTATTTCAGAAACATGTCGATACTTACGTTTCATATTCGTTACAAAAGTTCTCTGCTTGAAATGTCTCACGTGAATATCTAGTCGTGTCATCTGAAACATTCCAATGTTGGCATGAAGGAAACATTTCTGGAGCTCTCCATGCTATGTGAAATATTTCAGAAATATGTCAATACATACGTTTCGAAATCATTACAAAAATTCTCTGCTTGAAATGTCTCACGTGAATCTCTTGACGTGTCATCTGAAACATCGCCATGTTTACGTAGGTATGTGAAATATTTCTCTGTTGTTATGCGTAATGTGAAACATCTTTGAAATGTTTCAATACTGGTGTTTACTAGTTGTTTAGAATTCATCATATTCGAAACGTTTCCATTGTACTCTAGTACGGGTCAACGATATAATATCTCTACATTAACATCTAGAAAACATTTCAGAAATGATATAAAACTATCGAGTGTGAAATTTTAACCTCATATTTTGAAATTTCGTATGCTGACGTTGCCAGGTTCATGATTCCGTTTTATTGGCCATTTTTAATCTTCTCCTGAAGATGCTAACATTGTTAGAGAAACACGTGTCGAGGCGTTAAAAAATCGGTTTGGTTAGTGGTAAAACAGTGTAGTGGTAGTGTATTATCGTGCCAAAGGTTCCAGTCTTCGATATAGCGAGTTTTCAATATAATTTCAAATATTTTTCCAAAAATAGGAATTATTGATATCGGGTGATAATTTCCGATTTCGTTTGCATTTCCTTTTTTAAAACATATATAACATAACAAAACATTAAAACGAACAATTCTTTTTATTTTTTTTATTACTCAAAGAGTGATAAACCTAGAATCTCAAGACTAAGAGATTCTAGGGAAATATCGTGAATCGATTGTCAGCTGGTGCAAGACAGACTGTTTCGACTTGCCATATAAGTTTCATCAGTTGCACTAGCCAGCTGTCAATCGATTCACGAAGGGTACCTCCATATATTTAATAAGTCGAAGCCCTGAGGGGGCAGAAGGACGATCTAGCCTTCATAGCCATCTAGTGGCTTAAATGCAAAGGTGTATAGGTAGATTCGACAATCATACCTTGCGAGTACGTCGTGCATATAAGAGACACCATGTCAGAATTCTGTAGACTATCGCAGCACCTGTAATTCTCAAAGTGGTTTAATGTTCCACTAACAGATGGTGATAAACCTAGAATCTCAAGACTGAGAGATTCTTTTGTCTTTTCTGTAAGCATATAGACGTAGGGGTCTATATGCACGACGTACTCGCAAGGTATGATTGTTGAATCTAGCTTCAATGACCGCATACTATTCACTCATGGAGAGTCATCTTAGGTATGGAATTCCATTTTGGGGCTCTGCCTGCCAGGTTTTATTGCAAAGTATATTCGTCATTCAAAAAAGAGCTATGAGAATAATATTCAAAAAGAGGATTCGCGACTCGTGTAGGCCAGTTTTCTGCAAATATAAAATACCAACAATATTCGAAATTTTTATTATAGAGACTGTTTGCTTGCTCCACAAACATAAAGAAAAGTTTTTGAATCGAGCAGAAAGGCATACACGAAAGGAGATGATACTTGTCCTTCCACTCCCCACATCAACTTTGACCAAGCATTCTCAAATCTATAGAAGTAGACAGATATATAATCATTTACCGAAACAAATAACAGCAATCAATGATCAGAAGCAATTTAGGAAATTTGTAAAAAACCTTGTGGTGAGAAAGTGCTTTTATAGTTTGGAAGAGTATTTTGCATATAATTTCTAGTCTTTCTATATAAATGTTACTATCTACATCAAGATTTTAATAAACTGTAGTTGTGAAAGCACGTGTGTACCGCACCGTATTATTGTGTAAATATTTTTTTAGTCTTGTTTCTTCTACAATAGTTTGTTTTTTATATATATGTTATACCTTTGTCGACGAAATGTAATACATTTTAGACAATAAAGATTATTCTCTCTCTCTCTCTCTCTCTCTCTCTCTAGCTAGACACGTTTGCACTTAAGCCACTAGATGACTATGAAGGCTAGATCGTCTTTCTGCCCCCTCAGGGCTACGAATTACTCAAAGAGCTTTTTCTCGTATTACCTCATCAAATCCCTTAAGAATAAATTAGATACCAAAGCACTGATAACAATTTATTTCGCCAAGTTTCAGTCTATTATTTACAACAACATTGCTGTCTGGGGTTTAGCAACTGAAGTGGACAGAATTTTCATAAAACAGAAAGCATTACTGAGGCAAATTTTCAATCTAGACTACAGAACGTCATGTAAAGAGATTTTTCGTCAAAATAAAATATTAACTGTTGCTTGCTTGTTCATTCTAAAAACATTGACGTATATCCATGGAAACAGAAGGCAACTAGAGTCGAGATCGGAAGTTCATGATTATCATACTAGGAATAACCATATGATCCTCACCCAAAAACACCATCACGCAAAGTATAGAAAGTCTCCTATGTTTGCTGGTATCCGTCTTTTCAATATACTGACATGCGATATAAAGACACTTCCCCCCCTAGTTTTTAAAAAACAGTTGAAAGTGTTTCTATCAGAAAAATGCTTCTACACAGTAGATGAATTTATACTTGGAGTTGGTAATGCCAGATCACTGTCATTGTAACGTTTTTAGCATGTTGTTTACTTATATATTCTATTCTTAGTTTTTTAAATATGTATTTGTTTGTTTTACAATGTGTGTCACGTGATATTTTTTTACTTGAAATTTTCTTTAATCTTATATTCATATATATTATACCTGACAAATATGATCTGTCCCATCTACATAATGTAGCACAAAGGACTAATAAATCTATCTATCTATCTATCTCTCGTTGCAGAAGTGGTGACGGTATGGCAGAAGGACGGCACTCTGATCTACCAAGGCCACATCCCCATCGGCAAGCTGCCTAACACGCTCGAGTATGCCAACGGTAGCCTAGAGGTGAACGTGACCGCCGAACGGGACTTCGGCAGCTACGCATGCGTCCTGATGGTGGCCAACGAGGAGAAGAAAAGGCCGCAGGTGGTGCACCGGATCGTGCCCGTCACGCCGGCCAATATCGAGTCTCTGGTTGCCAAGAACAACAAGACTGTGGTGAGTTTAATAATAAACAAAGGGTAAGGTTGTGTGTACTTTATTCATAATATTAACAAACGAAGGCTATAGTACACAGTCTTTATTACGAGCCAACGACAAACATTTTCGGCTACAAGCCATCATCAGGAGTAATATCTGAAAGTGAGTTAAGATTAGAAAATCTGAATTTTGGAGTTATGTAATGGGCTAATGAATTTGATCAATTTTAATAAAATTCTACTCACTTGTCAGAAAGTTTCTACAAAAAGATTAAAGCACAAAAAGAACATTCTTATGTGCTCAAAACTGGAAAAATTCAAGTTTTCGAGAAAAACTGAATACCTTGTTTAAAATCAAATAAAATAGAATAAAAGAAAAGCAATTATACATGTGATCTAGATTGACAGACCGTCAAGACAGTGACAGTGACAGGTTCGACATGAACTAAGAAACACAAGAGCCTAAAAATGAATGTAAGATAATCAATGACATAGACTAATGACATTTGCAATGTTGACATAAAACCAATCTATCAACAAAGAGGAGCAGTTCGATTGGGGCAATAAAATGTTATGGATGGATGTAGCAATAGTAAATTCAAGGAGTGGGGATTGAAGTAATTGTCTGATAAGCTTTGAATAGAGGGTGGAATTTTGTTTGATTCAAATGAATTTGTGTATTTAGACACAATCACCCTTTCAATTTCTTCGACGTTATTCCCTGAAATGCCTAGTCATTTCACGTACGATGAATCAACAAAAGCACCCAGATGACAGGAATTGAATGTCAACAAATAATTCTCAGATGTCAGTTAGTTATAGTTTCACGTTATATTGAATGTAGAGAGATGAAAATTGTATATTTCATGAAGAATGGCTGAATGAATAACAGGTTATTGAGGAGGGTTTGAAACCCGAAATGAGTTCATTCGAATAAAGTCATAGAACCTATTTGAGAGAGATAATATTCTCATACACCACTGATACGAATGATTTTTGTTTCAAGCTCCTCAAGATCATATTTTTTATTTTGTTATTCAAGTAGGATGTTCTCTAGAAAATATTACCCACAAAAGGAATCGGAATATCATTGTATTTTTGTTTTTGACTATATTCCAAAAGAAATGTTCCATAGTGGCACAGAATTATATTTTTTCAAGCTCAAACTTCGATGGAGTGAAATATAGATTCTGAAAGAGCTAGTCAAATTGATCAACAGATAAAATGTTCTTCAGGTATGTCTCTAATGATTCTATCCTTCTCTGTATATCTGTCATGAATTAACCATCTTGTTTATTAAGTATAATCAGTCGGATCAAGAACTATAAAAATTCATCGAATACTTCAGATCCATTTTCTCAATTACTGACTTCTTTGATTTGAACTTTGTTAGGAACATTATTAGAATGATCATGATTTTGAATTGCAAATGTGAGATTCACTGGATCTATCTATATAATGACTATTTGGTAAGAGAAGTTATTTGTATACTAATTTATTTCGAAAATAGCATAAATATGTAATAAACATAACAAAAAACTATTGGATTTGAAAATCATTGATATACTGTATGTTCCTGAGGTAGAAATTCCAAAATTTTAGTAAAAAGTGAGTAAATGTTATGTGGAATGATTCAGTTATGTAATACAGTTTTGAATTTGAGAACTGGTCAATAATTTTAGAACAATATGTATTGTATACCCAAAATTAGTCAAATTATTGCACTGAATCGTTTATTGTATGTTTCGGTAGGCTCTGCAACTTTGCTGACGTCATAAATTTTCACTACTTACTTCAAGGCGGTATCTGATTGATTGTTGATTGTACTACTAATGATGAATATCCTCTTCGTATATATACCTATGCTCAAAACAAAACTAACACAAGCCTGTCGTGTAAACAAACAGCTATACATAATATAAGGACCTTGACATATAAATATAAAATATTGTTTATTTGCGTAGGTATCTCAACAAACAATCTTTCAATAATTGAGATTTCACCTGCTGCTTCGGCAACATGTTGAATAACTTCCCACACCTTATAAAAAAAGACGAGGAGATCCGTTGATGATTCATGAAATTGTTGAGAATGTATATAACTGCATTTATTTTATTGTTCTTGCAGTCTCATCAACAAAAAAACAAATGCATTACTCCAACAGAGGTGGGTATACCAGTGGCGGCTCGTCCTGGTAGGTAATAAGGAAATAGAAAACAAAACGATTGTTTTAACCAATTTATTGAAACCTATGAATATTACCATTTTATTCTTTTCTGAAATTTCCGTATTGAAGTTCGTGGTTGTAATGAATGAAACTGCGTTGATTTGTATGATAGGAGGTTGATAGGGGGTTGAAAATTTTTATGTAAAAAAATTGATTTTCAAAAATCAATTTTTTGGCAACCATCCGAGAAGTGCTCACTTCTTTGAGAAAGTAGCATTTTTCTGAACATTACAGGATATCCCTTTTCGCGTGAACCAGAACAAAAAAAAAGGCCGTGAAGTATCACATCGTTATTAATTGTCACTGTAAAAATGAAAATCTTGGCAGATATGGTTTTGATAAATGCAGATAGTAATTACCAAAGCAGCGAAATATCGGCTGACAGCTATTTAACATGAAATTAGTTGACATTGACATTTTGTGATTTTTGAAAGTTTGGTTGCAATTATCGCAATAAACCGCATCGAAAGCAGTTGCGATAGTGAGTTTGAAAATGTCCATACGAAATTTCCAATGTAGTTAGTAGGTATAGGTATTCAGTTCAAATTTCAGTATTTGATACAAATGAGAATTAATAAAGAACAAATTGTATTCTACAAAGAAATATAATATGGAAATGTGTCTCATTGATTTGTTATTCTACATGGTTGCCGAAAAAATAGTCCAAAAACAGTTTTTTTGTTAAAAACTTCAAGTCGATAATTTTCCCATTTCAATATAATGTTTTTTTTATCGCTTGGAGCGCACGAAAGGGAATCCATATAATGTTCAAAGAACATCGTAATATCTTCTCAATATTGATTCGCCTCTTTTCGGTTTTTTGTCTCCCTCCGCTTCGCATCGGGAGACAGCACAACCTAGAGCTAAAATCTACTACTCTTTTCCCTTGTATAATAAATAACTATTTATATAGATATAAGGATTTTATTCCCTCATAGGTTTCAATCATTGTATCAAATAGGGATTAACAGTGGGAAGAAAATCAAGGCAATTTCCAAAAATGTTCAATAAAATGAACAACAATGACAGATAAAGGAAGAAGCAACTGGACGCAACGTCTAATTTGAATAAAAAACTCTCACAGAAACAACTTTTCACAACCCAGTATTTATTCTTGAGTTTTCATCGGATTTTCAGAAGACCAGGGTACAATTTGGCATAAAATAGTTTTTTTCCTATCGGTGGTTGAGTCCAAAGGTTGTCTCGAGAAACATTGAAAAGTAATTACTTTCTCTCCGTCCCTATATGTATATGATATATAGACGAATCTTCTGATTCATGAATCAGATATACAGTGTGACCCATTTGAGATGGAAGCACCCTTATAAAACTTACATTTTTCAACCGATTGGAATGATTTTTTTTTGTTAGGTAGATATTCAAAAAGTCTATTAGGACACCAAATATCATGAATAAATCTCCATTTCCAGGGCAAACTAATCTGATTTTTCAAGGTCAAAAATCTAAAAAAATTACTAGCGATTTTTTTAGAAAAAATCTGACTACACCACTGGATTTGTGACATTTTCAAATGGGTAACATGTAAATTACTTTGAAATGCGTCAATCAATAAAAAAGTTATAAAGGAATGAAATTTGAAAAATATGCCGTTTAATCAACCCATCAATTTTTATTACTGAACAGATTTCGATGAAACTGTGATCAGTAATATTTCAAGACATCCTGAATCCAGTGGAGTATACAGAATTTTCATAAAATTCCTGAACATGAATTGGTGGGTTGATTAAACGGCATATTTTTCAAATGTCATTCCTTTATAACTTTTTTATTGATTGACGCATTTCAACGTAATTTACATGTTACCCATTTGAAAATGTCACAAATCCAGTGGTGTAGTCAGATTTTTTCTAAAAAAATCGCTAGTAATTTTTTTAGATTTTTGACCTTGAAAAATCAGATTAGTTGGCCCTGGAAATGGAGATTTATTCATGATATTTGGTGTCCTAATAGACTTTTTGAATATCTACCTAACAAAAAAAAATCATTCCAATCGGTTGAAAAATGTAAGTTTTATAAGGGTGCTTCCATCTTAAATGGGTCACACTGTATGTATCCATGAAGAATGAATCTACTGTTCAATTGTTTAATATCGAAATTGAGCGAAGGGTTCATGAAAAAAAAAATATATCAAAATTTGCTTGTTCCCCTAATTTCACCGGGGTGTATCTCATTCAACACAGATTGATCCCGGATATATCAAAGGAAATCACATTCATGCGACTCATCAAACCCTTGATCCGAATAATTGAGAGTTTCACAATCACAATTACTGATGCTATTTAGGATCTTTTTGATCATTTTATGATACACATGTCGTGATGTCACAAAGCAACTTCTCATTCAACATGAAAATTGATTGACTCGCTTTGTGACTTTGTTTTTTGTCAGACATGAATGTGAGGTTATTAGGCGGGCTTCACAAATTCACATACGTTCTTCTCCCAACATAAATTGAGTCGAATATTTTGTAAAATAAAGAATCCTCTAGCATTACCAGTGATGTTTATTGTGATTCGCTTTGAAACCTTGCCAGACATAAAAGCAACATCCCAGGGATGTTTGTATTCACTATTTCCGAATTTCATTACAGTATAAAGTTGGAGAAAGCCTGACCTTGACATGCACGGCTAGCGGATATCCCAAGCCAGAAATATCCTGGCACAGGGGAAGCAAAAGACTGGCGATCCATGGAAACACTCTCATGATTCCTGAACTGAAGGTCGAAGAAGGCGGTGTCTACAGGTGTCTAGCTGACAACAAGGTCTCCAAACCCAGCCACCACCATATCACGATCTCTGTTGAACGTAAGTCTCTAAAAACATGAATGACGAATAGGTGTAATTGAATGTTATAAGCTATAGCAGCTTTGGCAAACAAATTAACTTGGAGGTCTAAACGCGAGTTTTCATTTATGTGATTAAATTGCTGGTTATTTTTTTGCATTATTCCCTCAGTGGTCTCCGCCTCCTTCATACAATCCTTATCTGGAACTCATGTTTGGAACCATAACTTCAAAATCAACTGAGTGCTCAATTCTTCCTCGTTATCTCATCCGATAGGTTTTCGTTATTTTGACATTCTTCTGCTAATTGTTCCTGGCCTTCTAATGGAGGCTGGTATGTCCATCCACTCTAGTTTGATTGAGTCGTCCTATTGAAGTCTGTCAAACCAAAATAAGATTCCAAATCTCAGATTTCTATAAGCCTCGCATGCACGAAAGTGAAGAGATCTCGCAACATTTCCGTTAGATTTATCGTATCATTTTTTCAGTCAATGAACGGGTTGCATAAGACATAGAAGTTGACATTTTTTTGAGACTATCAGTACTTGTGTCAGTAGGTTTTTGCCGAATCATGCGTAAATGTTCGCTTTCTATTTACTCCGACATTTCCCTAGACTCAAAGAAATGTCCACTTCCACAACCCCTTTTTGGGCGTTCATTGACTGAAGAAAATGTTGATTATTCACGAAATCCACTCCTGACGGTAGGTAGATTAGCTAGCGCTAGCGAAACAATGCTTGTAGCACGCATTGAAACATGTAACGATTTTTTATTCATTGTCAGTAAATTTAAGTACATACCTAACGGGAAGATCGATTTTCGAAAACACCAAATTATGTTTCTTCAAGCCTTTCCCCTGATACTGATATCAACAAAGTTATTGAATGCGCCTACGGTGATGAATCCCGAAAACCATGTAGTGTGAATACCTTGAATCAAGGTTTCCATCTCTATTATGCCTGATGCTCAGATTCCGGAACATCACTAGATGCTAAAGGAACAGAAGAAGATGTCAGCTGTCTGTTAAGTCAATGTCATGTCATGTCTTGTCCATGTCATACTTACCAGTGGTGGACACCTCATCCCAAGCGTATTTTTCTTGTACTCTGAGACACATGTAAAGGGTTATGAAATATAGTGTTCCCAAATTACAGAAATAATTACTGGGTATTCTCTACTCCCAAACGAATCTAAAGGGTTATTGTGTACTCGTCTTCCGAAGAACACAACAATCTCTAAAATAAAAAGATGGAAAATTTTAACAAATGAATGTACAGGGTATCCCAATTTGGGCACTTTTGCGGGGTATCTCCCTTATCAGTAAAGATAGAGCATTGCGGTTTTCGCGACAGTGTGCTACTTTTTTATGAAATTAATAATGGCGCAAGCAGAATTGTGATAGCTCTTCCGGTTGTCGAGATACAGGGTGGAATTGAAAAATATCACTTTTCAGGCACCCTCCGTGTCTCAGTTATCTTTGAACTTATCGAAGAAGTTAAAACTCGTAGAATCCAGTGGCGTAGTTATTTTTTTGCTAGCACCTTTTGTTTTTTAGTTATGGAGCAAACATTTGTTTTTTTAAAAGGAAAATAATTGTATACAATTATATATTTCTGGAAAGCCCACTTCATGCTCAATGTATATATGAAATACTATACAGGGTGTTCCATTTGGAAAAACATATGTTTGCTCCATAACCATTAACGCCATTATTAATTTCATAAAAAAGTAGCACACTGTCGCGAAAACCGCAATGCTCTATCTTTACTGATAAGGGAGATACCCCGCAAAAGTGCCCAAATTGGGATACCCTGTACACCATGGATATCGTACGATGACCTTCAGAAAATTTGTATCCACCCAACTTTTATCATATATTTTTCTCATTCTTGTTCAGTCAAACCGATAATTGGAATTGAAATCGTGAACGTCGACCATGAGAGCACACTGAGTTTTCTGTACAGTGGATGCTTAACCCGAAGCATACATCGTCTGTAAGAACAAGAACACGAATATCGTGATAGTCGTTGTGAAAAAGCACCAGAATATACGTAGAGAAACGTGTTCTGGCGCTGGTGAAGAGTCAGTTAATTTAAATATTGATCACATTCATTATTACTCATCAGGGATATCAATCAATTTCCCTAGACTAAATCATGTGGTGCATCCTGAACAGATGCCATGGAATCTAAGTGTGGATTTATGCAGTATCAAATCACAATTATCAAGTAATAATTATCAATTAACAATTATTAAGTAAGGAGTAGCTAAAATGTAAACGGTTCATGCGAACATAATTAACAATTAACAATAAAAAATACGCAGGTGCGAAAGTCCATTCCATGCCATTCAAGATAGCCATAGAATTTTTTTACATAATATATTATACACATTTTTGGGTTATTGCTATCACAAGTGAACAAGCCTCAAAAATAATAGGAATAATGAAAAGTAAAAAGAAACACAAAACCGGGAAATGTTTTGACGTTACTCTCCAACTCTACAATAGGATGGGCCAATCCTTGGTCATCTACAAGGTCATATGCGTACTAATTGTGCACAATAAGGGAACCTGGTTCATTTAATGTAAAAAGTTGAAAGTTGACCAACCTTCTGCTTGTTATTTGATAAATGATAATCGTTAATTGTTTGCATAAACACAGTGATTGAAAATAGCAAGTTCAACTCATAATTGATCATTGTAAATTGATAATTGTTACTTGATAATTGTTAATAGATGCTGCATAAATCCACATTAATCAAATGAATTTCAGATTGCGTTTGAGTTCTCAGATCTGCACTTTCGTATTCATATCAACTGATTTTTCAGCCAACTTCCTCTGAATATTCGTATAATGTATGGTGCTGACTCAAACGTTGATACTGTATGTACAAATTGAACTACAATTATTTCCATGCATATATTATTTCGAAATGATGAAAATAACAATGATTCACCTCAAATAATGGCATCAACTGGGTATCTATCGACACGTAATTATTTTCCTCAGACATAAACAACAGTGAAAAACAAATATGTCTACTGAGGGGCCATCTGTAGGTTGTTATGGCATCGAACATAATTATGATACTGTCTGTAGGTTAATCGAGGAGGTGGTACATTCATTTAGAACCAAGTAAAATAATTATGATGTTGACGTACATTTGACGAATGCAAACTGTAACCCGTAATTTCTTCCTAACTGTTTCAATATCTTTGAAATTTCCTTGAAAATGATTAGAGCGAGATTATAAAAGCACCAGTCCGTTGTTTTTGCGACGTTTTCGTGTCGTTTTTATACAAAAGTGAGGTTATTTGAATATCTTGGGCTGGTGCTTTCATAGACTGACTACCAATACATTTTACAAGCGTTAAAATTTCAATAAATTCATTTTTCAGTTTCTGTAAGTACTTCACTTGGAGAAGTTACTGTGCCATATCAACCGTATTTTTGAAAGATTTGTGGGGATGTCATTCTCTTTGAAGCTTTTTTCGTCCAAGCACTATGTATTTCCATCGAGTAACGGTGGAACCAATTTAGAATTAATAATGAAGAGAAAAACTTAAAGTCTCATTTCAAACCTGAAATTCAATGCAGCAAATCATTTTTATGCTACATGTTTCTTCTCTGGCCTATAGGTTATACCATTTGAAAAACATATTCAACAAGATTTTAAATATAGAAGCACGATCGAGCACATTGTTCCTTCTATATACATTTGAAACCTTGTTGACTACATTTTTCAGTGTTTTTTTTTTTCTCCTCACCTGTTATAAGCCCGATGATAACTCCCAGGAGTCTAAACATGTCCATCCATCCATCATTCGGTTGCCACCTCACGAGCAACCCTCAGAAGTCTTCAAGAGACTTGTGCGAGCAAGAACTAACGGGGTTTCTAACCTTTTAACGTGGTGTGATCCCAAACACTTTCTTAGGGCATCAGAAAAATTTCTGCGGTCATGGTGGGAATCAAACCCACCTACCGGCAATCCAACGTGGATAGAACATTGACACTTTAACCACGAGGCTACGCTGGCCTTCAAACATGGAGTGAAACTTCGAGTTTTTCTCCTTATCATTTCATCACCTATAATTTGATCATTCACTACCAAAGATTCAAAATCAATAATGTTTATTCAGATGCTCCGATAATCGAAATCGAGAAATACATCGTGAACGCCGACCAAGAGAGCGAAGCCGAGCTAACCTGTACAGTGGACGCCTACCCCGAAGCACACGTGGTCTGGAAAAAGGACAACACGAACATCGTGTCCAAAGGCAACGTGACGGTAACCGTGAAGAGACACCAGAACACGCTGGAAAACGTGCTGGTCATCAATGGCCTGCGAGAAGAGGACTTCGGAGCGTATGTGTGCTTGGCCAAGAATGGATTAGGAAAGGTATATTGTTGTTCTAAAATTGTTCTGAAATTGTTCTATCCGTCATTCGGTTGCCCCCTTACGAGCAACTCTCAGAAGTCTTCGAGAGTCTTGTGCGAGCAAGGAATGACGGGGGCCTTACTTTTTAACGTGTGATCTAAAAACACTTTCTTGGGCCATCAGTAAAATGTCTGCAGTCGATGGGAATCGAACCCACGACCGGAAAGCGAATGCGGATTAGAATATAGACACTCTGTCCACACGGCTACCTGGCCGTATAGATAAAGATAACCATTTGGAAATAGGAACCCTAGCAAACAATAAATTACAATTGTATAATAATGAAATTGATAGTATCATTCAATATAATCATGGTATTACTATCAGCAATAACCTTTCTTGGGAAAATCACGTGAGATCAATTGCTAAAAATGCATCCCAAAAACATGGTTTTCTGTTTAGGGCCAGGAGTAATTTCACTCCCAGTCAGCTGCTTATATGATCTGTAATACTGTTCCCATATTTGCAGTGCAGCACCCAAACATACCCTGAAACTGTTGGATTCTGCCCATAAAAGGGCAAATTATCTCGTGGGTGATGCCTCGCTCACAAACTCACTCACTTCTCTGGAACACCGTAGAAAAGTTGGCGATATGGCTCTATTTCATAGATACTTTCATGGACGATGCTCTTCTGAAATATCAACAATTGTTCCTCCCTTGGCAGTCCCCGCGAGATTAACCCGTCGAGTTGAGGCTTCGCACCCCTTCGTGGTCACTTTGGAGACCTGCAGAACATCTCTTTCCAAAGACTCGTTCATCCAACGAACAGGGATGCTCTGGAACATATTGCCAAGGGAGGTGTTCCCCGAGGCATATAACCTCCAGAAATTTAAGAAGAACACCAATTCCAACCTTATTTCCCTTGGTTCTCACGATGTTCTCTGACGTGCGAATAAGAACACAGAAAAAAAATTAATAACTACTAATAATGATTACAATAATAAGAGCATCTCCCTAGCTTCTCATGTAAGGCTCGATATCTCATTTTCCCTCGTTAACATAAAAATCTCCATCAATATCAGGTGTTTGTATTCAACCCTAGCTCAACTGGGTTATTCACCTCGGAGATTTCTTATTGTAAGGAGCTCAACTTCAATAGATGAGATGCATTTGCCAGTACCCTAATCACAGAAGAAACCCTCCCTAGGCCAACACTAGAGAACTCCATAGAAGTGCTTTGTTGTGTTTGAAATTGTCCATTTGAAATACAATAATGTTGAATAAATTAAGTGTATTCCTGCAATCTGTAGCGGAACAGCATACCATAGCTTCAGCTATCTTATCAATGAGCACAAGATATGGTAAGGACATAGTAAGGATATTTCGTCCTTCGGAGGGGACGTTACGTTTAGCCGCGGCGGCAATGTTATTTATATGGAAGGAAAATTCCCGTTTTCGATAGTCGACGTTCCACAAGTCAATATATTTTGTGGATCTGAACACATAACACATAATTATAGAATTTCTATTGTTTCGTGATATGACTGTGTAGATTTTGGAATAATTGCTCACTAGATTTCAAAACCAAGTGATATTAGTTTAATTATCTTGTTAAATACTCGGTAAATAAAATATTTTTGTTTATATACTGTCTGTAGCTAAATCGAGTAAGTGGAATATTCATGTCTATAGAATTTTTGGGATTTTCTCTCCTTATTTCTATGAATTGAATTGTTAGTATTATTTCAATATGATTAATTATGAGTAAAGACAAATCAGCTGATTTGCAATGAATTTTCCCCAGAATTTCACTGAATGATAATAAAATCTAGAGAAATAGTAAAAACTCAGTCTAAAAATGAACTACACTACACTAGTGTGGGAAAAACATTTATATAATATTCTCGCAAAATATGAGTGGTGGGTGACACAATATGAACATTTCAGGTTTTTTGTTGCAGTATTTAGTAAGTTTGTACAAAATCATCCATCAAATTGCATATAAATCCCCCTATAACCTTATTCAATTGATCTGATGTGAGAAACAATTGTTGTCATGTCAATCAAAACACAAATTAGTTAGTGTAATCCTCAGAGTGACAGACAAAGCGTTACTGTCATTTTCGATTCAGTGGAATTGCGATGAAAAACTTCCAGCTACAGATGCGATACAGATGAGTTATTGCCAACGAAGTTTTGAGAAAGGTATGAGAAGCACTACACGGGACTTATTGAATGGTGCAGTAGTAAAAAAGTGAAAACACCAAATAAAGAAGAAGTATTTTTTGCTGAAACCTAAAGGCCAAACACCATGGGCATGCTGGCTTCCGCAATAAGCTTACCTACATAATGCTTCAAACGTTACACACAATAGATATATCCCTAATTATTAAAAGATATAGAATCTATCACTACTGTTAGTTGTTCCTATTTACAGGAGTAATTGATTGAACAAATCATTCAATTGTGTCTTTCCAGCACTCGACTCCTTGCCCAAACTCCGCTTCGCTTCGTTTGGGTCAACGAGGAAATATTAATTTTCCTAACAAGTGCGGAAAGTGATCTTTTAGCAGTATTAGCTTCTATTGCAGAAGTGGCAGAAGGAATTTTAATAAGACATGACAAAATTTCATAATGAAAACTATGTGAGATCACTTTTAACCTGAAAAATCATATGCCTTCGTCTCTCGCTGCATTTTTTGTGCATTGTACAACAGCACAATGAGAAGGCATGCTTGAATCAATGAATAGCGCAAAAAACACGATTCGTATGCCAAAATATTGTGAAAAACTATTGCAATCCGCTGATTCCTCTGTAAAAAAAATGAAAAAAGTGAGGTTGTGTTTCAATGTTCCACAGAAGAGTGAGGTTGTGTTTCAATATTTTACCTACAGGGTCGGTCATCGTGCACGCGATTCAATATTTCTTAATGTTCACAATGAATAGTGCAATTTGATAGATGATTCTGAACATACATATTTAATACTGCATCAAACAAACTAACAATTTCATATTTCATCACCAACCACTTATATTTTGAGTTATTATCATATCTTTGTTTTTCCCGCACTGTTGCGAGAAAATGACACTTCCCAAACTAAATTGCGTGAGGATATAGGGTGAATCACGCGCACGCTTGTAGAAAAATTACTATTCCATATCGTTATTTTTTTTTTGGTGAGGACAACTCACTGATGTTTTTTTGAATGAAGGTGGAGAAGAAAGTGAGCTTGGTGAAAACGCCAGCTGTGAGGGAGTTCGTGAAGCCAGACAAGGCTAACAGAGATGTTGTGTTGGCGTGGAAGGTCGAGTCCAGGTCGCCCATTTCCATGCACGAAATTCAGTACAGGAAAAAAGGGGTGAGTGCAACATGAGGACGTCTTTAGCATATCACATATCTTCACCTTCTCTAGTTGTATTTCAGAAACCGTCAATTCAATAATTCCAGAAAGCGTCAATTGTATTTCAGAATAGTCAATTGAATTTCAGGAGGCGTCAATTTTATATACTGGGTGACATAGGAGACATTTAACAGTAGTTGTTTTATTTGAGATAAAAATTTGAAATTCACAAGGGTATAAATAATCGATGATGGCGCTTCCCTTGAACCTGATGACAAGTTTTTTAAACCATCTGTTTGATTGAAAGTAGACTCAACTTTTTTTTCAATCGGAACACTGTCTATTTCTGTAGTCTATCTTATTCGCCTTAAAATTCTCTATTCACCCAAGCACATTACCCATTACTATCCCCTTCCTAAATTACCTGAAATCTGAATAGTTCTGCACATTCAGAACATACCTCATGGTGGAAAAACATATTCTTTCTGTGACGGGAAAAAAGCTCGAAATGTCATCTTTGTTGACAGGTTATAAAATGTCACTTTTCATAAATTACATTTTTCCCACGGGAAAAGAGAGAACTTTTTTCCGGACTGTTGATGGCTTTTGTAGTGCTATTTTGTGCTATATAACGAAGATATTTGATTACTTCAAAGGAATGATAAAGATGCCTGCAAAAAAATCCTACAACGCAGATGTCATTCCTGTTAAAAACCCCAAATTTCCTGATTTCAATATAATGTAATATATTCTTGATACTGATTCCTTCTTTTTCCTGTCAAAAAGGGAATAGTTATTTGTTTAACTAGGCAGCAAAGTAGTAGTACTTTGCTGTCGAGTTGAACATATAATTTTTTCTCTTTTTCTCCGATTGTTCATAATGATATAGGAGGATTTTGTATTTGCAAATTATTACAATTCCCACAATCTCTTTATTTTTCCTGTAGTGTTCAATTGAAATAAAATTTGATAGAAATCGCAGTTGTTGGAATGGTTGGTTGCTATGGAAATGTCCATAATAATTATAGTTTGACAATTCAAGAAATTTCTGACAGTTGTGCGAAAAAATATCGGTATATTTAAATTATTATATAATGGACAGTGATAGTGACCTGAAAGTACTTACTCGTCCAGAAATAAGGGAGGTGGCAAAAAATATAGAGTTGAATTTGTTGCCGGAGAAGTCTCGGATGAAATATGAAGGAAATTATAAACGATTTATGGATTATTAATTTTGCTGACACATATCAATCAGCAAAGTAACCACTTTGCTGCCTAGGCAGGAAAAGTAATACTTTGCTGATTGATATGTGTCAGCAAAATTGATATTTGCTGCCAATCGGAGAAAAAAATATTAGATTTAACCTCACGGTTTCTTTCAAAGTCACCTGCGATTTTTCATTTTTAATCTTAATCACTACTTGAATTTCAATTACCTTTGACCACTTTGACATATGATCGCTAAGAATATCCTAGACAGTGTGAGGCTGCTTTCACAGTTTTCACGGATCTTTGTTTGTTAGCTCCGATGTTATCCCTGTTTTGCGCAAATATCTCTAAGAAATAAAACAATATGGGAGCCGAAAATAATAAAGAGAAAAGTCAAAAATTTGTATATATTCGATTTATTATGGAGAGATACAGAATGTTAAAAGAAAAATCGTAGATTTTGGATCTATCTTCACAGACAATTCTCGAAGATTTCATGACGCAAGTGAATATTTGGCTAGAGGAATGGATGAAAACGGCAATGAAAACTTTTTCAATTATTTCAGAATGTCGCCTGATATGTTGTATTTATTGCTCGGACTCTTGGGGACTACACTTGAAAAACAACCAAGAACCAGATTAGAAATCACGCTTCGTTATTTGGCATCTGGTGACAGTATGACTTCTATTTCATATCTTTCTCGTGTTGGGATTTCTAGAGTTTACGAACATATCCCACAAAGTTTATGAGTTGTCGACGGTTTAGGAAAAATCGAAGAAATTAAAATATTTACTTAACCTAGCTTTCTTCTCATCACGGACAAATTGAACGGAGGAAACTTAATGTTGAGCCAACTGGGTACGTTGCGATTGCAGACTCATTCGTGTCGATTTCTATTGGTCAATATTCATCACATGATCCAACGGATCCGTGAAAACGGATGCATGTTAAAGCAGCCTGAGTGGTGTGAAATGTCACATCAGTGCTGAATATTTTTCAACAATTCTTCGTCGTTGCGGTTTCCACTATTTTCTTCTCTTTCACTCTATTTTCTTATTACATAAGTGAAAAAAGTTTATGGTTCCTTTAGAAATACGACGACGATAGTCAAAACTAGGAAAAAAACTGTTCATAATGAGACTGGGTTTGCCAAATTCAGTTCAACCAAACTGTATTTGTAATTGTTTTTATAGTACTTTTCATCCTCCAGCTCTTATCTAAAGAGCTAGAGCAAATTTCTTTGATCGACATAATCGGAAATTATAAATCTACTCGAGACTATGGACGAAGTATATAATGGTAGAGAATGTATCCCATCTACTTTTTACTCTTCTTGGAAGTGGAAAGCAGTTATTGTTTATAATTACTTTGGAACGAAATTATTCCTAACTCGAATGTTATATTATATTGTCAGTTAACGCATATTTACACCATGTATCTTCAGTTAACTAACGTTAGTAACTTCATTTTGATTTGATTATTATTTTGGGGTTAGGTTGTGGAACTCCACTTGAATACGTAAATGATGAGTGATACCTTTCAGCAAGATTCAGAATTAGCTGAAATTTAATGGAATATTGTTTTGAGGAATCATAAAACAACTGCACTTGCATCTCAAGTCAAAGCTATACAAAAGTAGACCAAAGTGTTTACACCGTCTTGGTCATCATACTATTTTAGTCTGGTAAGCAACAAATTTCGGTACCAAATCGAGCTAGGTTAGGTTAGGTTAGGTTCCATGTGAGTGGGGCGAACACCTCCCCTCCACTGCGACCCCAGATGGGTCTATTGTGGCTCACCCCTAGAGGTTACAGTTCACCGTACAATCCACATCTTTTTACAAAGTTCATGGTTGAATTGGGTGAGATTTGTCTGAAATCGATAGGTTCTAGGTTGGTAAAGCCAAATGTGTCGAACCTTAGTCTTTCTAAGCTAGAGCATGAACATAATATGTGTTCAGCCGTCTCGTCTTCCACACAACAGAACCGACATTCCGTTTGTTGGTTCAGAACCATCCTTCCCAGGTGGTATCTTAGACGACAGTGTCCCGTAAGCAGTCCAGTCAGAATTCGCAGGTTACCCCTGCTCCATTCTAGGATCTGCCTGGTTATTTTTTCCGATGGTTTAGGCAGGAACGCCTTCGAATGGGTTAATCCTGGTAATTCGGACCAGTACGTGAGTGTTTTTCCCTCCGCCCAGCCCGAGATAGTTGTTTTCGCCGCACTTGCGGTGACCCCAAAATATGGTTCTGGTCCTATGAACACAGATTCGGTTCCCTGTTTGGCGAGGATGTCGGCTTTCTCGTTACCCTCCACCCCCTGGTGTCCAGGCACCCACAGCAAAGTGACTCTGTTGTTAGCACCCAGACTTTCTAGGGATTCAATGCAGCTCCATACAAGCTTGGAATTTATCTTGCTGGAGCTCAGTGCTTTAAGAGCAGCCTGACTGTCTGATACAATACTGATATTTTTGTTTACTAGAGGTTTATTCGACAACTCTCTAGCACACAATGCAATTGCGAATACCTCCGCCTGAAAGATTGTAGCACATTTGCCGAGATTGACGGAAATTTCCGTCTTCGGTTTTCTGCTGAAGACACCGGCTCCCACTCCACGAGGGGTTTTCGAACCATCTGTGTACATTACGTGTTCGGTCTCTGGGAATCGGATTGATCCGCTTGCCCATTCGTCTCTCTTCGGGAAGAGGACTTTGAAAGACTTTTTCACGTGTGTCTGAGTGGCCAACATGTCGGAAACCATTCCTAGAGTTTGGTGATTTTTTGTTTCACACAGTATCCCGGAGTGGTCCAGCAGTCGCCCCCCTCTGATTTGATTTTCCAATGACAGGAATCTGTAGGAAACCATCCTGGCTTCCCTCTCCAAGACAATGTGGAGGGGAGTGAGGTTCAGGAGGTTTTCCATCGCTGCCGTTGGAGTAGAGGACATCGCCCCTGTAAATCAAGCTAACCAAGACTTGGTATAAACGTGGCCATTATCTTTTAGCTTGCTGAGATTATGTCGAATAAAGACATTTATGGAAAACATCGTTTTTTGTTGAGATTTGATAGCGTCTACTCTGTTATTCCCTTGTAGAACAAACTATTATTCTCACAAGAGTTCTTACAAGAGTTTTTCGATTTGAATCGTTCCTTTCAATGATTTCAAACAACGTGTATATTTTTCAGGAAGAACAATGGCAAACGGCCAAACCAGAAGTGGACAATGGAGTACATAATATGTACACCGTTAAGTACACTCTCAAAGACTTAGATGCCGGTAGCTATGAAACGAGAGTGCGATCAAGAAATAATCACGGTTGGTCAGAATTTTCTGACATCATACCGTTCGAAGGAGGTAAGGAAAAGTAGACGAACAAGTCGATAGTTGATGCTTTTTGCCTTGAATGACTCATCTAATGCTCATACGGATTTTAATTTTTCATTTTTTGCTTCCTGCACAGTTTTGGCAAAACATGGCTCAGCTCACAAAAACCACAACAAAAAACACCATAAAGACAAGAAAGGTACCTATACAATTTTTCACACCTATATTATTTTGTAAATAATCTATTGCTGGAGGCATATTCGATTTGATCCAATCATCATTTCATCTAAAAATTTTTATACACTGTGACAATTTCGGGAAGTTTTCGAACCATAGCTTGAAAATAGAATGTCACCGTGTATAAAGACAGGTGGTGGTGGCATTTCACATTTCCTTCATCATAATGAGATTCCATTTTCATACTAGGTACATAATTATTCAGAACATGGAAATTGTTTTCACATTGATATACGTTTTTTTTTATAAATATAGAATAAATTTCTTCAGTAGATACGTTTGCATTATTCACTGATACAAACCTCTAAATATTTCCATAATAAGAGTTTCTATGAAATATCATGATATTGAGTTAATAAAAAAAATTATACTAGGGGTTTTAGACAATTCGTATTGCAGTGATGATGTCATCAATAGGTCTTTCATTGTGTTCAAGTATTTTCTACTAAAATTTTGCATTAGAATTCGATTACAACATTTTCGGAAATATTTGTATAATAAGTTATAACGGTTAAAAACATTTTATTTTCTCCTATTTTATTTCATTTTTTTATCTTTGCCGACTGTTATCTTAACACAATAAGTTTGTTTACTAGGTGAAGAAATGAAGTTTGTAAATGTGTAAAATAGCTTATCCAAGTATTGGTACAGACATGCATAAGCATTATTTATCATGATCTTGAAATATGCCTCCACAATATAATGAATTTAAAAAATTGAAATCCAACATCATTTTCTTGGTGATGGAAAAGGATTTAACTCAATTGCCGCATTTACCTACTAATTGATTGTTAATAGTGTTTATATTTTGAATACATAAAAATTGATTGAGTTAAAGGAAACTCACTCCAAGAAACGTCATTTAATGTATCAAGTTATTGTTCAAATGATCCCAATTTTCGATGTTCTAGTTTTTCGTTGTAAATCTTATGCCAAAGTATTTTTTTTTCTCTCAATTTCAGTTTTATTATTCATATTATTTACATATGCCAGGTGATTTTCCAAGATTGCTCAACCCTATAACTTTTACTATAATTGAAGGTAGTTAAACCTTGCGGTTTGTCCGGAAATGAGGTTTGATAGGGTTGTTTTTGAACGATAACGAAGATTTTTGCATTAGAAGTATCCATATGCTCAATGGATGTGACGGTGCAAATTCAAAACTTCTTTATTCTCTGTCACACTCATTGAGCTCATGGAAACTTTGAATGCGAATATCTTCGTAATCGTTCGAAATAACCCTATCAAAACTGTTATGGGATAAAATACAGGGGGTGCCCAATTTAAAAATCGAAAGTTGGTGTCAGTTCCGGTCGAACCGGAAGTACGGCAAAGCAAGAAGATATGACGAAAATTGTCTGCTGAACCATAATTCACAACCCCCAAATTCCGTTTTACTATCTTCAATAATTATAAAAAAGCTATAGGGCTGAGCCACCTTGGAGAATCACACGGTATATATTATTCGAATTGATCCTGGAGTGAGTTTCCTGAATCAAAATACAGGACAAGTCAGTTATACATTGATGAGCATATACAGCGTGTATCATTTCAAATGCTCCCCTTTATATCTCAGCTATTATTCCAAACAGCTTCGAAAAAAATTGTGAATTCAAATTAAATGCAAACTTCGGAAAGAGCTCTGGTAGGTACAAAATTATGGTTTGAAAGAAAAAACAAGATGTACTTTCATTTGTTAAACCCACCGTTTCATGACGAAAATGATAGATCATACACATTTGAATCAATTCAGCGGATCTTGGCCAGATATGAAAATTTCATACGTGTGCTATTTATATGAAATCTATTTCTATATCTATAAAACAGCGAGAATCAAAACATGTTTTCAGTTCTTCGTGTATTTTCAGACGATTTGGCTTTTATTCGTGAAAGAAATAATAAACATGGTTCTTTTATAATCACGGGAAACATTATTTTCCCACATATTCCTATAGTGTCGTCAACTCATAGATAATTTCTCCGAACACCAAAGCTTATATTCGAGATTGTTAGATATAGACATCGATACATCAATTATACAGGGTGTTTCCTTGTGATATTCTAGCAAATAAAGTTCATATAAACATGTGTCCTAGTAGTATTGTGGGGAGGCTGTAGCCAGGCAAGTAGGCCCCCATGGGCCCTTTTTGTCAACCCCTGCTCTCCACATATCTACACATCCCTCTTTTAGTTGTCCTTTTCGGACCTTCCCGTCCTTCTGATGAAGGTCAGGATGTCCGTCCACTCTAATTCGGCCAAATCTTCCTGTTGTAGTTTATCTACTCCAAAGATTTCGAATCTCATCCTTCCATACGCCTCACACTCTCCGAGGAAGTGAAGTGATGTCTCCTCATCTTCTCCGCATTCACGGCAAGTGGGACTATCTTCCACACCCATGGGTGATAGGTGTCTGCGTAACCTGTTGTGCCCTGTCAGTACCCCTATAGGAAGGCGCAGGACTTGGCGATCCTTGCCAGTAACCAAGCCGTCTTTGGCTTGCTTGAACCGGCCACCAGGTCTCTCGATACGCCTCCAATATCCTTCTAGTGCCTCGTCCGCCCATTTGTTAAGGGCAGAAGAAGTTTGGCTTCTTGTTATGCCCAGTGCAGGCTCCGGTCCCCAGAACGGTGTCGCGGATCCGATTCTAGCCAGCTCGTCGGCCACCTCGTTCCCGGGCATCCCCCTGTGACCCGGAACCCATACTAGTTCGACTTTCTTCTGTTCAGCTAGTTTCTCAAGAGCATCGCCACATTCCTGCACCAAAGCTGAGCTTGGTTTAGGATGGCAGATAGCCCTGAGAGCCGCCTGACTATCCGAGCAGATGTGTCCTAAGTTGCTCCGTTTCTGAGATACAGGATGTTGAAGTTGGAAGTATGAATTGTTTTTAGTTATAAACCCTTCTGTATGAGCTTTCATAGTGCCAAAATTCAGGTTGGATGGAGACTATGGAAGTCTTGCAAACACCCACATTAAAATTTGGAGTCAAATCGAATTTTTATTGTTTCCTCAAAAACTAAGCTAGATACAAAAATCACAAAAAGAAAAAAAAGTTGTTATGTCAATAGTTCAATCTAATAAAATTTCGAATCTAATTGCACTAGACGAAGCTCCATATTACTATTAACAAAACCACGTTTTATTGAAATTGATGAAAAGACAATTGAGAAATGAATAGAAAAAAATTTTTCATGGAACTATTAATACCCTATATCTCGAAAACGAAGCAAGTTAGGACACATGTTTATATAAACTTTATTTCCTGAAATATCACAAGGAATCACACCTTGAATTTTTTCGGTGGTATTTAGATACACCCTGTATACTTATATTCTCATTTATAGATCTTTCAATTAATGTAGACAGAACGTTCCAATGATTCTGAATTTCGATTACTTGATATTTGATAAAAATCAAATAGCCACAAACATTGGGCAATGGGCAAAGAGGAAAATTTACTTTCTATGGGAACATGGAAACATATATCAATGTATTGCTGTCCATCCATAGTAGTAGTAGCAGAAGTAGTATGGAGCAGTGACTATTATTTATAACTAGTACCATTGACTGATTCGTCCTATATTTTGAAACTCATCTCATTCAAATAGTTTGGGTTGAGGCTATTATCTTACTGGTTTGTTGGATGTACTCACTTTGATTTCAACTGTATCATTCATTTCAACCCTTTGATTTAATTTTCTTCATTTTGCACAGAAAAACACATTACTTCGACACCTGGATTCATAACTGTTCAGCAGCGAGAGATTATTCAGAATGAAGCATCTGTAGGAGGTATTATATTTATTAAATTTCAAATTCAATACATTTGGAACTGCATTTATCATTCATTACTTGGATAAATGGAAATTCTCACACAAAATGAACCTTCTAATATAGGTATATCTATGATATACAATACCAAGGTATTTATGGATCGTGATAATGCAGGAACAGAGTTCTATTCAATAGCTGTGTAGCTACCCAGTTGACCAAAACATGCTGCAGCAGTTTTATCACTGCTGCATTTCAAGTGCTGATGAATGCCTCAAATGAAATCACAGGCTCGCTTTGAACTCATCACATGATTCATCACTTATTTTCTAATCCTCTGGAGCGCACGAAAGGAAATTCCTATGATGTTCGAAGAACATCGTGCAAACCTTGGAAGAATAGGGAGAAGGAGGTAGGTGTTGGAATTATTTTGAACTTTTGGAGGTTATAAGTTCCTCCAAAGCTTCGCCGTTCTATAGACGAACAAGTTTTGATGAAGTGTTGTTCGACATATTTCAAGGTTGTCAACGAAAGAATAAGCTGACTGGGAATGTAAAATTTCTTGTATAAGTATCTATAGAAAAGTGAAAGGTAGCCGACTATTCTACGGTGTTCTGATGAGGTCAGAGAACTAGTGAGTGTGACATTTCCCACCATTCTAATGCCTTTTTTCTGGATGGAATCTAAGAGTATCAGCGTATGTTTGGGTGCTGTACCCCATATGTGAGAACAGTATTCTAAAAGTGCCCTAGCTCATCTGTGCTTTGTAGATCATGAGAAGCTGTTGAGGTGTAAAGTAGATTTTCGCACGGAATGAAAATCTAAAACTCCTTTCAATAAGAAGTGATAACACATAGCTCAATGTTGATAGCTTTTTCGATCACTTTGGAGATGATTGCAGAAACAGAGGGTTTGGCCTATGGTTGTTGGGCAGGCTTTTGTTCTCTTTTTTGTGGATTGGTTGGACTCCTATTTTCCAGCAAGATGGAAAAATACCTGATCTGTACGAGATGTTGAGAGAGAGAGAGAGAAAGATAACCATTCTGAGATATATAAGAGAAAGATAACCATTCTGAGAGAGATATATATACTTTGAGTCCGAGCGGAATGGGTCTGATTGTGCGTTGACGAAAAACGACTTCGGGCATTCGACCTTCAACGGGTGGAATGTCTGGCGGCACTCTTTCTTCCTCTGCAAAACCGGTGGGGATGAACTATCAGTGAAATTTCTTCCGACTGCTTTAGCGAGAGACCAAAATGTCTGTGAGTTATTAGGGCAATCTATGAGTTTCGATCTCATTTTGGCATTGTATGATTCTTTCGTTACATCGATCGAAGTATGTATGTGTCCATTCCAAGCAGTTCTATCACTGCTCCATTCGAAATGTTTTCATATGTTTCATAACAGATAGATGCTATTTATATTCTAGATGCAAGTTACATTATCGATTCAGAACATCTTGATGATACAGAGTTCTTCTATTGTTCTAGTTTTTGATGACGCCTAAAATAAATGCAGCGATTTCATCACGTTGATGGAACGTGTGATGAAACACAGTTTTGTAACAATGCTAGATATATATTCTAGATACAAGGTGCTTGTGTTACAGAACGGTGTGATAGAACAATGTTCTATGACCGATCTTTCTTGTGATAGACCTGATACAAGTTTGGTTAACTGGGTAGATTGCGATAACATGAGATCTCGATCCTAATTCTAGTCATTCGATAGTTTTCAGAAGATGTCTTCTTCGCCAAAGTCAACTACTATTATTATTTCAATCAATTGATTTCATTGATGTTACTTCATCAATTCTTGAAGTAGTATAGTAGAAAGTAGTTTTTTCAGTAGTTTGGGTTGAGGGGATTTCCTGATTGGTTTGGTTGGATTCACTGCACTGTTAATTTTTTTTTCATTTATTTTTAACTCATTAATCCTATAATTTCTTCACCTTGCACAGAAACACACATTGCTTCGACACCCGGGTCCTTACCAGCACAGCATCAAGAGATTAATCAGAAAGAAGCATCTGTAGGAGGTATAATTTTCATTTTCAATTCTTTTATTATTTTTGTAATGTTGCACCTTTACATTAGACGTGTATCCAGAATTCTATTGGTGTCCTAGTGAAAATATCCTCCCAAAATAAGACTATCAAATTTATAGAAATTATGGGAATACAGAAGAAGTCTTCAAAAAATGTTTCTTTCAGCTGTCATTTTTTTATTTAACACTCTGGCTGCCGGTACCCTGTTTTCCTCTCTCTCTAGTACAGGCTTTGTCAGTCATATGTGACCGAAGGTGACCTATAAAAAACCGTGCTTGGCAGTGATTTTTAACCGACAGCAGAAGTTTCAGTTCGAGCCGAGTCATGCAAAAACGATCGACGATATGCATTCAAATCCTCTATTAGATCTGAATTCGCGGCGCTCAAATGAACCTTTGTGAATTTTTCTATAGCGCTCACGTTGAAATGTATAGCTACAATAATGCCTGGAAAACATTTATTGTATAAAATGTGAAAAAACTCATGAACATATCTGAATCTAATTATTGTTGGAATGGGTTTTCACATGACATTCAATGCACATAGAAGGCATCTCTTGGCAGCCTTCTCAATGCGTCCGCACTCTCTTCACCTCATTTTCAGCCCCCTTTCTTGTAAATATTGTTTCACGAGATATTTATAACAAATTAAACTATTTTTCTAGCTTTCGGTGTTTTATCCTTTTGCTGTCATAGCAAATGTTCCAACCCCTGTGAGTTTATCGATAAATTAATAACTAATAGGAGTATATCATGCACTTTTACTAATATACATCGAAAAAAATTGCCTTATCAGGCCGCGTCGATCGATTTTAGCTGACACCCTTTCATGCTCTTCTGTACCCCAGAACGACTTTACAATGTCTGAGCAGCAATATGCTGATCACTTAGATGACCGGTTCGAACCAATGAAAATGCATCGGCTCAGCACGAGATCAAGCTGTCGGTCAAAAATGACTGACATGGCAGTCAGAGTGTTCAAAAATTATAAAAAAGGATCTTTGATGGCCAGAAGGTTCATTAGGACAATTTGTATATATTTGGCATGTTTCACTATATCAATTCATCTTTCTACACTCTATACAGTTAAGTCACTTCATCCGGTATAGCGAGCCCAAAGTTGAACTTTAACGCCCTATAACGCGGAATAGAGGTTCATCGGTTATTGGTGATCGGGCGCTAAAGGGAATGATTAAGTGCAATAGGAAATAAGGACTAATTATAGTATAGAATAACACTTGAGTATTTAGCTATCTACTTGCAATAATTGCCATTATTCTCTCGGAACAGAGCCGGATTTAGAGGTATGGAGGCCCTGGGACAACAAAGTGGAAGCCCCCTGGCTTCTAATTGTTTTCCATATAAAATTAACAAATTTCTTGGTCAATAATTGTTTACGAAACCAACTAAATTATTTTAACTTATTCACGGTGTTTCTTGAGTACCTACGTGTAGAAAATTCAGGAGCATGTTGCTGACGTTCAAATAAGAAGAAAAGTTTGTATAAACATATGTCCGCAAGTCATTCTGAGATACAGAGTGTTAAAATTCGATTCTTATTTCGTTTTTTTGTGTATGAATCAAAATAATCGTGATATTCGGGTGAGATACCAAATGTCACTCTAATATCACGTTTAGATCTGAATTCATTCACAGAAAACAGGAAAAAGAATTAATTTTTGATACTTTTGTATCTCAGAAATGAATGACTTGCGGACATATGTTTATACGAAATTCTCTTCCCATTTTGACGTCAGCAAAATGCTCCTGCTATTTTACGTGTACTTAAGAAACACTCAATAGAAAGTTTGTCCAAAAGAAGAGTTATCTGAAAGAAGGTTTTGTCCCACCGCAGTTTGAAGCCTATTTTTTATAATTTTCATTTTATTGCCCCACTCAACCATGGGTATACTCTATTAAAAGATGGGTAGTAAATAGCAGCAACTGCTTATCAGGGCCATTTTGACAAATTGATATTTCTAGATCAGAGTGAACAAATATAATCAACTCACCTTTTCCATAAAAAATATTGAAGGAAAAGTTATTCACTAGTGTTCACCCGTCGGAAGTCGAAAGATTATTTTTCTCTATTGTGGGGGTCCCTTTTTTGTGAAGGCTCCAGAGCTGTAGCCTCAGATGCCCTCCCCCCAAATCCGGCACTGTCTCGGAGTGTAAATCATTCCAAGTTAACTCTTGGTATAATCTACTATTGAGTAATAAGTACATATAGAGAATCAAGATATTTCGACTTGTGAGCGAAGCATTGAAATCAAATTTAGATTCCAGGAGTTATAATCCTAATAGTGAAACTAAGCGTGTTTGGTTATCTGTACCACAATCGATCAATAATAGACAAATTAATCGTTAATATATAACTAGTTGATACGGATTCGATGGACAAAATCTTTGTAGTTTCTTTTTCAAATATAATTTTGTTACTGCGGATTGCGGATTGCGGCTTCGTCACAAATTTTTTGGACTAAACGTTATGAGTAAAATTCTCTTGATCTATTGACATATGTTTTGAATATTTTCAGCTTCGCAATCAAGTGGCCACCGATCTTCCATATCTTCGACGGCAGTTCTGAGCATAGTGCTGATCCTCATCTGGATCAACAGACAGTGAATTGCGCTGAGTGGAATTGTACAAAACTGAGAAATCTTCCATGCACTGGGTAGCTTATATCAACAAGAGAAAAACCAAAGTATTTCGACTCGTTTAGAATAAGTAAATTATGAACTTCATTTCCTATTATGATTTTCCAACCTCATGTCCCTGTATATATAAACAATTCCTTGTATTGTGTCTATTGTTCTGTTGTAGTCATGGAAATCTGAGTGTGTTGAAAACCAGTAAATTTTTCGCTATACTCATGTAGGGAAAAATGATTCTGTGATCTATCTATGAGGATTATTACATGAAAAATGTATGTACTATAGTGTCCTCAGTTTACGTTGAAGAAAAACTTCAGAAAAAGATCTAGCTCTATTCCGAGTGATGAGGTATAAAAATACGGTAATTATGGTTTGCAATTCGAAGTAAAGATATTGAATATAGCTTGTCATTTTCAGAATAAGGTACGAATCAGAGAATGTGTTTTCAAAGCTGTTTGAGAAATAGAAACTATATTTGATAAATTGGAAATAGTTTGAAAAACACATTTCGTATCAGAAAAGTTCTAAGAATCATTGCTATCAATACCTGAAGTTTTTATTCCGATAATAAGTGCCCTGGATGTCGCGAATGTAGCTGATTTTTTGATTCTTTATTGGTGCAGTCTATACGATGCCATATTTTTTTAAGTTATTGTCGAGTAATAGTAGAAATAGCGAATCAAAAAGTTGGCAATTGAAACTTAATTTTAGTACTTGTAAGTTACCTCTCACATATAACATTTCTTTGTACGGTTAAATTGGTCAGTATTTTTGGGCTCTTTCATTCAACCGAAATTTTCAAAGTTCTTTTGTTATTCCTCTAGTCTTAGTTCGAATTTAATGACAGTGTCTGTCCGAGTAATCATCAGCAAAATTTTATATTGGAAATATTTTAGATTTTAGGTATTACCGACATTTTGGAATATGCTTATTATTTTATTTCAAATCTGTATATTCCAAAATCATCTGCATTTTAGGGATCTAGATTTAATTGTACATATTATTTTTGTTTAGTTTCGTGTGATGTGGCGTATTTATGTTTTATAATTTCTTATTCTTACTACCACAAATGCCTAACCAAGTTCCCTGCACTTTTTAGTGAACTGGAATCAAAAATTTTTCATTCTTCTGCATGATTTTTCGACAATATTGTTTATCTCCTGATTGGACTGAAATGGGAACTGATAAAATGCCTTATTCAAATATTTAGAAACAAAAAATCATCATCTTTCGATAATATTATCATTGCTTGTCTTTACATGTTCTCGAACGCAATTTGGCGGGGATTCCCAGATATTTCCATCAATATATCGACCAATTTACACGTTTTAGTCGCTTAAAAGACACAATGACAGAAATCCTTATGATTCTTTTTTTCTGCTCAGTATACCGGGTGACATTGGAGACATGTAGCAGCCTGTAGTTTTTTTATTTGAAGAAATAAAATTTTGAAATTCACAGTGGGTATATAATAAATGGTAGCGCACTTTACGAACTCAACGACAATTTTTTTCAACCACCTGTTTGACCGGAAGTGACCCCAACTTTTTTTTCTTATATATCACCCTGTACATTTCTTCAGTCTATCTTTTTCGCCTTGAAATTCTCTATCTAAGCATGTATCACGAAGTGGCATTTATTTCTTAATTCGCTGTTGAATTGCTTTTTATTCAAAAAGAAGTTGGCTGTGACATGAATTCGATGATATATCGACACTTGGTAGGCTTTGAAATTTAAATATCATTAGTAAACCTATATTATTCCAAATGTTTTGATATTCTGATCAATGTCTGCAGGTTGTCAATAGCTTTGTTCGAGTCAAGATGAAAACCTTCGAAAATAACTCATGATATTGAGGAATCTAAGATAGGAACATTTTTTTTCGAATTCAGCTACTCATACAGAAACTATCTGTCTATTTTCGCCATGTACCTATCACATGATCTTCCCATTCGGAATAATAAAACTAAAATTGTTCCTCTTATACGATGATCCACAATTATTTCATTTAGTAGGCGGTGTACCTACACAAAAAGCAATTCAACAGCGAATTAAGAAATAAATGCCACTTTGTGATACATGCTTGGATAGAGAATTTCAAGGCGAAAAAGATAGACTGAAGAAATGTACAGGGTGACATTCAAGAAAAAAAAGTTGGGGTCACTTCCGTTCAAACAGGTGGTTGAAAAAAATTGTCGTTAAGTTCGTAAAGTGCGCTACCATTTATTATATACCCCCTGTGAATTTCAAAATTGTATCTCTTCAAATAAAAAAACTACAGGCTGCTACATGTCTCCCGTATCACACGGTATAGGACTCATATCCCTAATACATCTGATGATGTTGTATTGTCTATTTTCACTTATTTCTTTCTTGACCCCACATGGATGTTTATTGATGATAGATAATCCAGATCATTTAAGGGTGGGGTTCCTTAGTCTTCCAGCGATGAATTCTGAATTATACAACAATCTTATAAGCATATCGGCATTTTGAGGCATAGAGCTATTTACTCTGGAAATGATACTGGGAATTCTCACCAAACTGTATGAAATTGTATATGTATGTATAGAAAATATTAAAATTAACTGAGTAAGGCCACTATTTTCATTCGAAATTAACCTTCCCTATACTTTCTCTTGCGATGTTGTTGCTATAGTGAAGCGGCATAGCAGAAAAATTCATAACAATTGTGCATTTTGTGATATACAGGATGTTTCAAAAAAACCTAACACCCTTGCTAGGGTAGGTAGAACACTGCAAAATAAGTTGGGTTCACTCAGTAAAAAAATGTCGTAACGCCATCCGTTTTCAAGATACAAGGTGTTGAAACAATATTTTTTTTACACATTTTTTATGATTATGTTGAAACTACTGGCAACATTGTGATGAAATTTTGTATGGATGTTTCTTGGAATCTGACACATCGCATGCATTTGTTTTTATATCTGACTCTCATAGAGGGCGCTAGTTACACGGTTCGTACCGAGTAGTTTTGAACATAACTTTTTCATTTTACTTGGTTCTTTGGGATTTTCTCTCCTCGTTTCTATAAAATAAAAGTATTCGTATTATTTCAATATATTTGTAGAGGGACAAATCAGATGATTTGCCCCAAAATGTCACTGCGTTTAACAAATTTTTCTATCAGGGAGTCTAAAAGAAAAATCCAGTAGCTTGTCAGTGACAATTTGTTTGAAAAAATTTTTGAAGGAAAGAAATATAGATATATTGAAAAAATATCGAATTTGTACTTATCTTTGGACGTTTCGGGACCGATTCTGCTCCCGTTCTCAACATGTAAATGCAAATTATTTTTCTTTGAAATTTTTTGCTGCGTATAGTTTGACACTTTTCAATGTCATACTGATGTTGGCATATGAATGAGTGATTTTAGTCTACAAATGAGTTACAGGATGTTTTCATTAATTGATCTTGAATCTACCATTTTCATGTTCAGTTTTCAGTAGTGAATACCATGTTCTATCAATATCAACTGAACAGGAAGCAATGCTATTGTCTCCGTTTAGAAGAATGCAAGCGGATTCCTTTATTTTTCTTTTTTGTTTGTTATCTTCCTTTCCTATGATTTTGATATTATTCCACTGTGCCATATGTTGTCCATCTTCAGTGAGGATATGTTCAGTTAGCTTCGATTTATCGATATGTCTTTTCTTGATATTGTACTTGTGTTCTTTTGTCCTTACTGAGAGAGGTCTCTTCGTTTCACCTGTATAATACTTTCCACAAACACAAGGTATACTATAAATACAATTTTTTGATGATTGTTCTTCATTTTTTGGCTTTGTTTGAGTTAGAATGGATCTCATTGTATTTTCAGTTTTGAACACAGTTTTCACTTGGAACTTATCACCAACACGTTTTATTTTTTCAGATATGCCGGGAATGTACGGTATTATATTCGTCGTTATTGATGGTTGTTTTTGTTGTGGTGTATTTTTGTTTGTTTTCAATTTATTGAAAATCGTTATTGAAAATTTGTTGGTTAGATGATATTGATTTGGCTCGATCATGAAGTGATCTGATTATTCCTTTTTTGATAGCTTTCTGATGATTTGATTGAAAATTGAGGTATCTGTTAGTATGAATCTTCTTACGATATACACTTGTTAAGAAAACATTGTTTGATTTTTTGATAAGAACATCTAAAAATGGTAACTGATTGTCAGATTCAATTTCCAAAGTGAACTTTATAGTAGGTTCTGCATTGTTTACATGATCTAGAAAATTATCTAGTTCTATAAGGGTATGTGGCCAAATTATGAAGATGTCATCTACGTATCTCCACCACGTTTTTGGTTGTTTTTCGTAATTTTTAATAACGTTTTCTTCGAAATTCTCCATAAATATATTGCTCAAAATTGGAGATAGTGGTGAGCCCATAGCCATGCCAAAACTCTGTTGATAAAACTCATCATCCTGATAGAAAAATTTGTTAAACGCAGTGACATTTTGGGGCAAATCATCTGATTTGTCCCTCTACAAATATATTGAAATAATACGAATACTTTTATTTTATAGAAACGAGGAGAGAAAATCCCAAAGAACCAAGTAAAATGAATGTACCACCTCCTCGATTAACCTACAGACAGTATATAACTTTTTCAATCCAAATTTGATGTGAACTCGAACATCATTCAATTTTACACCAAAAAGGTAGGTACTCTTGGTAAAACTCGATACTGTGTTCCGTTTTCGAAATATAGAAGATATAAAGAGAGAAAAGGAACAAAAGGCGCAAAGCAGAATTTTTCATCCGGAACAGCATATATTTCAAGCAAGTAAAAACTCTGTTTCAGCTTTTGTACATGTGCTCAGATACATGCGTGTTTCTAATACTGACGGGTACATTATTATAAATTTTCAGGACTTCATGGAAGTAGAGTCTCTGGCCATACTTGGAAAGAAAAACTGGTAAATAAAGATTATGGTTTCGCCATGTACCATACT